CTCGCCGGTCAGTCTCGTCGTTTGTACTTGCCTGTGCATCGGTTTTGTGACTTCCGCCATACAGATGCGGCCTCCATGGCGCGATTTTATTGTCTAAAACCATATTGTTATGTCTAAAACCAAATGCATCTTTTTGGAATCCACCTTCTAGCAAAATGCTGCCAACCACTTCGGTTAATTCTCGGAGCAACGGTGCGCTGAGCCCCAGAGATGCTGCGAGGCATACGGCTGGGGCGAAACGCTACAAGTACCTGCGGCGGCTCTTCCACTTCCGACAGATGGACTTCGAGTTTGCTCTTTGGCAGATGCTTTACCTGTTTACTTCACCGCAGAGGGTTTATAGGAACTTTCACTACAGAAAACAGACAAAGGACCAGTGGGCGAGAGATGATCCCGCTTTCTTGGTGCTTCTCAGCATCTGGCTCTGTGGTGAGTGCAGAGGAATAAATGGCATGAAAAAGAGGGGAGAGAAGTTTAGGGGTGAACATTAGTGTCCCTTCTAATTGCACACAAAAAAAGGACCAATCCATATGGATTATCCTTTAATCAAAGTAGTAGAATAGAAAAAAATGGGCTAACCTTTTTGGAAGTTAAGGTGGGAATTGGCAAACAGAGGAGGTGTAACTAATACTATGTAGTGTTGAATTAATCTCTCCACTGCAACTCATTTTCTGTTGCATTTCAAATTATGTAGTTCCCTGTAAACCAGCAGGCAGTTGGGTTATAAAATAAAACCCCATGCCACACAGCAGTGCTCTAATTAAAAAATAGGTAACGTTTGGTTTATCTGAATGTTACAGATAAAATACTGTTTTTACAATAGAGGCCCTAGTGAGATTCTGTGTATTGCAGAATGAAGCTATAAACAAAATGTCTCGTGATTTTTAGACAGGGCTGCAAATGCAGTATTATCCTAGTCATCTTCTATTGTATAGCATGTTGCTATATCAACACTATTAACTCTGAAATAAAAGTGTGTATCACCACACACATGGTTTGGGTTAACAAGGAGCTTTTATAAAACAAATAATATTCTATTGTAGCATTGTGTGAATTTTCAAAACATGGTTTGGGTGCAGCAATAAAATTTGCTGTTAGATCATTAAGCCCAAGTACAGATGGGTGTTCTCCAATCTGTGAAAGGGATTAGATGATGAATTGCATTATACCTAGTATTTGGTAGAAAAAATGAGCTGTTGGACTGAAAAGGGAGAAAAATAAGGAAACTGGAGATTTCGTAACAGTATACTCATAAAAACGTATCAGTTTTAAGATCGCGTGCTTTCTTTTCCACAGCTAACTTTAATAATCTTCTGCTTTTAGTATCTACTGTAGGATTTGGATTTGTGCTGGACATGGGATTTTTTGAAACAATAAAGCTGCTACTTTGGGTTGTATTCATCGACTGCGTAGGCGTTGGCCTCCTGATTGCAACTCTAATGTGGTAAGTAGCGATGTGTGAAACACAGTTCAGTATCGCTGTTGGGACACGGGCAGTCCTCTGCTGTTTGCAAGACACTTGGTTCTCTGTTTGGGGCAAAATTATAATGTATGTCTTGACTTTAGGTTTTGTGCTGTTGTGGTAACCGATTCAAAATGTTGCTTTAAAAAAGAACACATCTTTTTCTTTACTATTTCCTGCAAAAGATGAATGTTCAGCAAGTCTGTGTTATGATGAACATTTTAGCTTGTTTTCTTTCTTCTTGAGCTGGTTAATCTTATGCCATAATGCCAAATTAAAAAAAAAAGTGGTGATCAAAAAAAATTCTTCAGTCCTTATTTTGGTTGAACAGCTTAAGTAAGCCTGAGGGATGAGTATGTTTAAGTAGGGCAATATGCAATTGGCCTGTGCTTCTTGCTGAAGACTTTAGCTATTTCCACTGCAAGCAATGTCTGTTCTATTTCATGCATGTTGGCTTTGTTGCTTTAGTGGTAGTTGCTGCCAGTCTTATCCTGTAATGGCCAGAGACTTACAGAAAGGGAGAGGCACTGGCCAGTCCGCTCATAATGCAGACCTCAGCACATTATAGGCGTGTCCTGCACCAGCAAGGGAACTGTGAAACAACAGGAAGTCGCTGTTTTCTGCGCTGTGGCAAGGTGAGGGCATAAAAGGAAGACTTTTTACTTTACCAAGAACTTGAGGAGGCAAAGGCAGTTGCGAGAGTTCTTAGTGGTGGAGCTGATCTCTTAAAACTGATGCCGACTGGGAAAAGGGATAGGTTCCTTTCCAACAGTGACCTTGGGAAGTCCTGCTTGTAAGCAGAATTCAGGATGAGGCACATACAAGAACTGTAGCTGATAGATGAAAGGTCCACCAGACCTACTCTCCTGTCTGGGACAGCAACCCATAAACTGCTTGGGGGAAGAGCATCTAGCAGTGGAAAGCCCCCGCATCCTCCAGCAGTTTGTGACTTGGGATGCAGTCTCCTGAAAGAGAAAGACTTCAGGATCTGCTGGTTTTCCTCTGTCCTTCAGTCTTTCCTGCAGGCCTAAATACCAGTCACCTGGCTCCAGTTTGCTTCAAGTCTGTTCTTCCAGTGCAGGCTCACCTTTTTTTCAAAAGCCTCCCCCATTTCTAATGAGTGTAAACCCCTTCTTGCCTTGCTTCACCTTGCACCCAGGCTCTGCCTCTTTCTGACCTCATACAAAGAATATGTCAGAGAAAGCTACCATGAAAGCTCCGGTCTCTTAACTTCTTTTTTGCCTCAGTCTTTAATAGCCAGTC